AAGGAGGGAGATTGCTAAGCAGACGAAGGCAGCAATGAGACATGGGGGAATGTGACTGCTGAGGTTCACGGCAGTGCGGCCAGGTCGTCGGCATGTTGTGTCTCCTGTGTCTGACATCAGTGCGGTTTGTGTTTCAGTTCTGAAGAAGGTGAAGCATCGGCTGGTGGAGAACATGAGCTCTGGCACGGCCGATGCCCTGGGGCTGAGCCGTGCCATTCTCTGCAACGGTGAGCTGGGTGATCTGAGCACCATTTCCCTATTGCAGTGTTTCCCAACTCAGTGCTCAGGGACTCACAGACAGTGCATGTTTTTGCTCCCTCCCAGCTGTCTGGCAGCAAAAATGTGAACCATCTGCGGGTTTCCAAGGACCGGATTGGGAAACGCTGATTTTTCGTACGGAAAGTGTGGAGGCCTCTGTGCTGGGCTTCTCTGTGCAGTGCTGACACACCTGTGGTCTGGTTGCAGACGGACTGGTGAAGAGGCTGGAGGAGTTGGAGAAGACGGCGGAGCTTTACAAAGGTAGCCGCTTCCTGTGAGCTGCATTCATGCTCACTGAGCTGTCGCCGGGCTCAAATGCTTGTCTTTGTCAATTCAGTGCTTTGGCGCTACAAACAAAACAGTTATTGTCCTGCCAAAGCATCTGAGCATACAATTACCAGAAACAAAAATAGATTAAGAAGAATTAAGGTGAATAAGATTATTATGTGGTGAAAATGAAGCAGAGGCTGTGACAGTCGCTGTCGTGTGTCTTGCGTTAGGCCTCATGGAGCACACCAAACGACTGCTCAGGGCGTTCTTCGAGCTGTCGCAGACTCACAGAGGTAATGGCGGCCATGGCAAAAGGCGTTCCCACCTGCTTGTGTTGGTGCAGTCTGCCTCATGTGTCTGACATTCCCACACACGTGTGCTCCCCTCCCCTCCCCTGCCCTGTGCCTGGCAGCTTTTGGTGATGTTTTCTCCGTCATCGGAGTGCGGGAACCCCAGGCCGCGGCCAGCGAGGCCTTCGTGAAGTTCGCTGAGGCCCACCGCAGCATCGAGAAGTTTGGCATCCGTCTGCTTAAGACCGTCAAACCGGTGAGGGCATCGGGATTTGTTTACACATTCACTCTGATTCACACTATACTAATCAAAAGTTTGGACACACCAAGCCGCCTACAAAGCAGAGTGATAGTGTTGCCTCACATAACCAGGTCACCTGACCTAAACACAGTAGAAATGATTTTGGAGGAGTTTGACCAGAGAGTGAAGGACTAGCAGCCAATGAGTGCTCAGCTTATATGGGACCTCCTCCAGGACAGCTGGAAAAGCATCCCAGCTTTTGACTAGTAATGTATACGTGTAAATATTTATTAGAGCCGCCATTCTTTTTCGCTTTGTGCCAGATGCTTCATGACCTGAACACGTACCTGCATAAGGCCATCCCAGATACCAAGTTGACTATTCGGAAGTACCTCGACGTGAAGTTTGAGTACTTGGTGAGAGCCGGTCTCTCCTATCTGTGCTTGGATTTGCCTGTTACTCCTTACAGAATGTACTGGCATGTCTGTGTCCTGTGCTTTTGCCTTGTGGTGGTTAATGTTTCGCCTGCCTTTGTTTCAGTCGTACTGCTTGAAGGTGAAGGAGATGGATGATGAGGAGTACAGCTGCATCGTGAGTAACTTTTGTTCTGGTTTTTAATCGGAAGTAACGAGAAAGGTTCCTCTAAAGTTCATGGGAGTTTTACTTACACAAAAATGTTCTGAGGGCAGAAAGAAAAATGATTGGTTCAGATAAATTACCAATCAAATTGTAGAGGAGGTGGGTCCAAGCAACTAGAGGAGACAGGATCAGGATTGGTTCTCTCTCTGAACCAATCGTTTTTCTTTCTGCCCTCAGAAACTTTTCAGTGTAGGTAAATCTCCCACAAAACTCTTGTGTTGAGATGACATTACGAGGCAGATGGGTGTATCTTGCCGAAAGTAGAGGTTTTATGGTGCGAGCTGGAGCAAAAAAAGAAGCTGAAATGAAGGTTTACAGTGCTGAAGGGTGCTTAGATGTTTCTCTGTGTTTGTTGGGATTCTCTAGGCATTGGGTGAGCCGCTGTACCGCGTCAGCACAGGCAACTACGAGTACCGACTCGTCCTGCGCTGCCGCCAAGAGGCACGGGCCCGCTTTGCCAAGATGAGGAAGGATGTACTGGAGAAGCTGGAGCTGCTGGACCAGAAACACGGTCAGCATTTTATTGTGTCTGTCTCAAACTGGTTTTTAATGGCTTAAAATGTCTTTGCTATTTGTCGCCCTCTGCTGTCACTTTGAAGTAATGTTCCTTTATTATCCGTTGCCCCTTACAGTCCAGGACATCGTGTTCCAGCTGCAGCGGTTTGTCTCGGGCATGTCCCGCTACTACGACGAGTGCTACGCAGTGCTGAAGGAGGCTGACGTGTTCCCCATCGAGGTGGACCTCTCTCGCACCACAATCAACTACGGCAGCCAGGCCTCCTCCTACGGTGATGAGGATGAGGAGGAGGAGGAGGAAGGGGGGGGAGGAGGAAAGGCTGGTGAGGAGGGGAGTGGATCTGCCTGTCAGGCAGAGAATGGAGCGGAGAAGCTCATTGATGATGAATGATAGAAGTTATTATCTAGGTAAAGTATTAGCGCCCCTAATTTGAAGTAGTCACCTGAAATGAAGTATTTTTGTACATATTCAGCAATATCTTGAGCTGGGGAGCTGTAGTGAAGATTCCAGGAATGTTAGGGCAGTTCTGCAAAGTTATCAGACGCAATGGGACCATCTGCGGTTTAGCGGTCCAGTCATGTAACTAGAAGTAATTACTGCCTCCAAGATTAGTGAGTGTGCATCTTACAAAATTCACCGAATATATGTCACTTGTTGTAAATATTGTTTTCCCCCTTATCAAATGCATCAGTACGTTGATTAAATCACTGAACGTTTCCGTCCAGTCAGAATACAGATGCAGCTATCACCACATTTCCTGAGTCTAAGCTACCTCTTGACCACATTGCTCTGTGGATCTCGCAGACATACCTGCGTAAAAGAACAGCTCAGTCAATCAATGCTGTTTTTTTTGCTGAAGTTTTTCTTTTTTCCCCCCTATCCTTGTCTTGCGCATCTTTACACATTTACGCTCTGTACAGTGGGATGTTTGCTATAAGGTTTGTGGGATGCTGGGACTTTCATCAGTCAGGTGTCAGGTGCCTTTTCCTTACAGCACTACTATATGAATGAGATGTGAAGTTGCCCACCAGCTCTCCATGTTTTTCCTCCATCCTGGTTTTTAGTGATGGACAAAATGAGCCTTTGTGAAGCATTTGCTGTATTTTTTGACCCCACTAGATGGTGCTGTTGCTATGCTTTTGGTCATGCTTTGTGCTCTTTTTTTTTTTTAACAGAGAGCACCATCTAGTAGAGTCAGAAAATACAGCAAATGGTTCACGAAGCCTCATTCTGTCCATCACTGCTGGTTTCATCTGTGGCCCTTTGCCGTCCTTTTGGCACTTTCATCCCTGCTGGGTGTCGGGTTTGCCTGTCTGTGAAACTGGACTGATCTGCACTGGTACCACCTAGTTACCTCTAGCAGGGCCAGTTCATGCCTTTTGGACTCTAAAATGGCTGAGGGACTTTGATTGCTGATGCTGACATTTCAGTTTTTTTTAATCAATAAACAAAGGGAGGGTTATTTTTTAATGATTTGTAAAGCAGGTAACTAAACTGGAAACTTATTACACTACAACTGTAGCATGCGTGGCAGGCCTCAGGTATTGATGAATTATATAATATGTATCAATTATTCATGTAAACATGGAATAAATACAATTTAATTACAGTGCAATTGCAAGGATTGTGAATGAAATTATATGCATTTTACGTTCTATCACAACTGAGCATTTCAAATGAGGGTGAGGCTGATTTACAGGGGTTTGTTGTGGAGATTGATCCAGTTCTTGCTAACCCTTTGGCATTTACTGTGCAGTGCCATTAGGTCAAGTGGAGCAGCACTGCCCCCTGCTGTTTAATCGGCACCTATGCCCCACAACAGCTTGCTGACTTTTAAAATGGCTAATTGTCACAGCTGTACAGTCGATTGACTTTTTTCATTTCAGTTGCACTACTGGACTGTGCATCCTTAAGGATGAGTCTGGGGTGCCCTGCAAGGCACTATTGTTTACCCAAGACTAACAGACTGGAAAGGTTTTATATATTGAAGTTTTGATGGAAAGAATTCATTCTGCACTAAATTCCTAATTTCTCTTTCACGTGACAGTTTCTGTGTGGAATTGCTCCTATAAAATTTCCGTCAGTGCACAGCTGAGCGTGTGAGAATAAAAACCATGCTGAATACTTACTGTTTGTGATTTGTGTTTACATAATTTAAATTTGTCATACTTTTTAATATTGTAAGCTTTTCGGAAGTGTGATGAGAGTGGTGGGGAAATTTAAAGAATTGTTACATTTCAAATCAATGTATAAAATAAAAGTATTTATGGATAACAACTGCATTAGTCTTATATTTGCATGTTTTTTGGGAACTGCAATAAAAGGTGATCTTCATATTGTTGGATGTTTGACATAATACTATACAATAAACATGCGTATTTAAGTCTCTGGAAGGCTTTGGTGTATTGGGGTGGTGTTCAGAATGAGATTGCTCCAGAAGTTTTCATTTAGCCCACATCCAGGTGATATTGTGAAATGGTAACAGTACTAACTGTTAAACAAATGGAGGCAACAGCACTGTCTTCAGCTTAGTTACAGTTTACAGTTTAAACTGCAACAAGTTACATGGTTACGCCATTTCAGTTTCCTCAGCCTCTGTTTAAACCCAGCCGCCGTATCCCTTTAAATATCACCTAAACGCCACTAGAGGTCGCTTTTCTGCAGTTTATGGTGAATCTCTGCACATAGTTTAGCTGTTGGTAAGGGAACGATGGCCATAGTAAAAGCACCGCTAAAATCAGGTATTACTTATAACCTATTTAATAATTATTTAATTCTTTAGGCTATTGTGCTACCTAGGTGAAACTTATGGAACCTTGAACCCAAGATACAGTATGTGTAATTACATAAGCCAGACATCCATAAACTACATTTAAAATTTCAAAGTCTTTGTAAACTTTTATATCTCGGCCATATACAAATATACAGAGATACGAAGTTGCGCAGCTCAGGGTCTACAGTGTAACAAATTATTATGTGATGAAATAGAAAAAATGAAACAACACAAGACATTGTGCAAAGCCATACAGGTCAGTGGAAAACTAAGACAAGAGTTGATATGCAATATTTACATTGATATAATGTATAGTGTAGTATTTTTGCAGTATGGGTACATTTATATATATATATATATATATATATATATATATATATATATATATATATATATATATATATATATATATAGCACAATACAGTTTGAGGTAGTAAAGATGATTCTCAGTACTTGAATAGTGATTTTTGGTTGGCATTATATATAGCTTATGTACCCAGGACCCCGGCCACCATGTGGGCTGACCAGCAAATGCTGCTGCAAAGTAAGGTAAAAGCAAGAAGTATTCTACTGAGACTGCCATACTCCTCCTGCCATACTCCTCCTCCCCTGATACTCAGACACACTCAACATGGAGAAAAACTGTCTGAATTAGTGTTTCCCAACCCGGTCCTAGGGGACCTGAGAGCTGAGAAGGAGCAAAAACCTGGACCGCTGTGGGTCCCCAAGGACTGGGTTGGTAAACACTGGTGTAAATTATTGCTTTGATAGGCTGTATCCTTGCTGGAATTACTCCTCACTGAAATGGCTCACTAAGTCTCCTTGAACTCCTTGCAGATACTGATACAGCTTACACTCTCCTCTGCTAGCTCACGGCTATTCACTATGCCCATGATAAAGTGGTAGGTGTGTAGAATCAAATGAATGCTCTTTTATACTCCACTCCTGTTTTCAACAGCAGTCAAGGTGAAAATTGCACACCTCGTTACCCACAATTAATTTCTTTCTTCTTCAACTCGCTTATGAAAGAATACATTTGTCAACCATCCCTTGCCACTAGACCACTCTTCCAACACAACACATTATGAAAGAGCCTACAGTTTAACTGCCTCATTTTTATGCATGAACTACACTGATGAGAATTAGTCCAAAGAACATTGCAGGCAGCTTGCCGGTCTGTTCTGTTCAAAAGCCTCTATTGCTTCACCATAAATACCACCGTGGTGTTTTGTGATTTGCTCCACAAGCAACATGGGGATTATGCATGTGCATCTGTTCATTACTGAGGACGCTTGAGGAGCAACCCTCTGCTGACAAGGCAGGAATGTCAAAAAAAGGAAAGTTTCAGTGCAGCTCCTTTACCTGTTGCCTTGAGAAGGGTCCAACTGCAGACGCCTGTAGAGTGGAGCTCCACCGGAAATACGTCACCTCCACAGGAAACACGTGGCCTCAACTCTGTGTCACAGTGAATAAACCCTAACCTTAAACTTAACCCGGTCCCAAACCCTAACCATAACGTTACCGGACTCCCGGAGCTCCACTTTACGTCCTTAAAGATCACGTGACTTATTACATATTTAAAAAATCTTCTGCTCACCGAGGCACTGGAGAGTGACTCATTTCCTTCCTGCAGTACAGACCTTGAATAACCATACAGCCAGCTGTGTGGTGCACACTACTTGCGCAAGTTCCTTCAGGAATCACTTAAAAGCAGGGCAAAATTCAACTCCCAAGTATAAAAGCCTCTTCTGGTACATACGACATGTACAAGAATATGTAAACACCCTAGATTCGGCAGTGTATGAACCAGAAGAGCAACAGTAACGCCATAAAAAATGAACTCAGCGTAATAATTCATGAATTTTTATTATAAAGGAAGCCCTGAATTATTTACATTACGGTTTAGTAAATTCTGTTTTCTTATTGGTCCAGAGATGTCACGTGGGTGCTAATTATCTTCGCGTGACCGCACAGGTAGCTCCAGTAGCTAAATTCTGTATTAATACGTGTTAATGTTTTAAACATGTTAATATAAAAACCAGTGTGACCTTTTACTCGTAAAAAAGCAGTTATCAGCATAATTTTCAAAACGCAAGCGCCTATCTGCTGTTGGAGCACGGCGTCTCCACCGGGTCCGTGGATGAGAAGAGATTCACAGCTGGCACGGGGAGAAGTTGCAAATCACCGGTTCATTCTCTTGACTGATTATAATCAGGGAGCGACCATCTGACATACATTCAGCATGTACAGGAGGAGGCTCTGCCATATGTATCAGCTGTATCCCCTTTAAAGCCCTTTGGGCATCCCCCCCCCCCTTTCTCGGTACCTTCCGTGTACGTGACAACCACATGTGTGATTCCAGCCGGCTCGTACAGTAGTTGTCCTTCTGGAAGGCTAAAAGATAAGTAGGGGCCACTGATATTCTCTGTCGCCCCCCCTATCTGTTCCGAATAGGTAGCCTTGCCTTGCCGGCGCGCCAGTCAGTTCTTGTTTTGATTAGTTACAGCCTTATAGAATCATTCCCTTTATTTTATTAATTATTCCCTCAATGCTGACGATTTTCTACGGTAACTTAACGGACTTGCCGCTTCCAGTCAGTAGCTTGACCAGTAGGAACTATATTTTTTAAGAGCATATTTCTAATTGAAATAATTTTCTTCAGAAAAATTAATCGTGATTAGTTCATTATTCTTTTGTTCGTTAGCTGTGGTATAAACGGGATAAACCATTTGCATGTGTGCGGTTATACCGAAATAAGCTACCACCAAGTTGATTATTTTTGTATACCCGTACACCGCATCGTGGATTATCCCATACACGTTGTATTCCTTGGTTCTAACAAAGACTTACAGCCAATGTACGTTTAAACATAAGTGGCAAATCTGGGGGGGGGGGAATTCTGAGGTAAAACATGAAATTTTAACACTTAAGAGATCCATATTCTGAGAATACAAAAAGCAAATCAAATAAGACATCTTAAGACGCTCAATACGTTGGTGTGTTTGAAGAACACATAAGTGCAGTACAGGTCATATCAGCATTTACAGAATGATTGGAGTGCCTTCAGAATATATAATGTGATTACCTAATATACTATATACACCTCCTCCCTGTTTTCAATTAACCACCGCATTGCATCAGATTTTCATATCATTCTATCAGCTTTCTATCATCCACTGACAGAACAGAGCACCATCTTTGCCGACCCCCCACCTCCCTGTCCCATGATCCCTCAGAACTCTGCTCACGGCTGGAAAAGTGTGGGTCGCATGGGAACGAAGGGGAAGTTATAGGTGGGGGGTAGCCCGTCGTGCAAGGTGCTGTTGAATTTGTTCCAGGTGAAGGGTGGCAGCCCCCCCTCGGTCGTGGGCCCATTCACTACCTCCGCCTTGAACATCTGTGCCATGTGGAAGTCCGTCACCTATGGGGTTTATGAGAATACAACATCGTTTACATTGTTCAGCACCAACAATCCCCTCCCCCCATATGGAATTACACCCCAAATTTGAGATTAATAATAGCTACCAAAGTGCTTACCTTAGTATCATAGCAACCCATTGTAGTGGGGTGCTCCAACTGGAGGTCATCGCGACAGCAAATGGCCTTACATGGGTCTTCCTTGGAATAGGAGTCATTTTTGTAGTCTGAAATAAAAGAGTAGAGATTCAACGTTGAGACAACGTGGGGCAAAGGGGAGATGCGGGCAGAGACGACGCATACTGTTATATCTCATGATGTGTTTCAGTGACGCAAGGTCTGTGACGCTCCCCTGGTCCCGGCGGAAGATTTTGGCACGTGGACAAAGGTCATAGGAGAAGTCCTCGCCATATTCCTTCCACATCTCCCAGTAGCCACTCAGGTTGTAGATGTCCGGGTGGAATGGAATGTTGTAGGAAGGCCAGTAGCCTAGATGGAGAGATGGATGGCAATCAGGATAAGCATGAGAGCTCAGGTACCCCACCTCATGCACCTTAAAGCCAGACGCACTGGTGCATGGACGCCTCACCTCTGCGGAGGGCCTGAGTCTGGTCAGAGTAGGACACATGTCCAGGGATCTGCTCAACAATGGTCAGAGCACCACTGTCAATGCTTTTGCCCAGAGACACTTTATTCAAGTCCACCACCATGTACTGGTTATTGTAGGTACCTGGGTGGGATCCCCACCCCCAAAGCAAGAGGAAAACAAGATCAAAATTCAAATTAAAGACATTTACGTAATAAAAATAGAGTATGCAGATATAACTATACTGCTATTTGCCGTTTCCTTTTTTTTAAAATAACGTTTGCATTCTTCACTGCACTACACTGCACAATTGCAATCCACTGCACTCATGCACAAACAGTTTTATACACTATATGTATATTGTATTATATTGTATTGTGTGTCATACATTAATTTACTGTATTTGTATTTTTGTATGGCATCATAGGGGCCCAATGAGAAACGGTATTTCAGCGCACTGTGTACTTGTACATGGATGTGTTGACAATAAAGTAAACTCTTGAGTCTTGACCAACTCCAGCCTTAAAATGAAACTCCCACCAGTTTGCCTGGGGAGCCTTACCAGAGTTGTACTTGGAAAACACACGTGCCCATTCTTCCCCGTCATGTGCCAGGTAATGTGCAAGTCGAACTCTCTGCCAGGCCAGCAGGCTCTCAGGTGTGATCAGTGAGAAAAGGGAGTTGTTGAATACCAGGTTGGTGGTTTGGGTCATCAGCAATCCGCTACCCAGTAGGTAGAAGTCATCCAGGGACACCAGGAAACCTACAGCAGAACGTCGAGGGAGGGGTTCAGCAGCAAGTCACTTTCTCTTATCGTTCCCACACTGTTCTGATTAAGTGGAGAAATGCAGAAGGGTTCCTTATGGATGGTTTCAGATCAAGTTCAGACTAGATTTGCAAAGTGAAAAGCAGCACATGCTTCCTCTTTTCACTGTGCTGTTAAACTAGAGAAATTCAGTGCTGCAGTTTAAGACCAAATTTGGTCAATGGTTATTTGAAGATGAATTCAAAGTATAATGATATATATTAAGTTCTACTTTGATACACTATATTACCCAAAGCATGGGGACACTAGCTTGTCCAACATCTCGCTCAAAAGGGTATAAATAAGAAGTTGATCAACCCATTGTTACTATAACAGCCTCTACTCTTTTGAGAACCTAAAAATTAAATGTTGGAACATTGCTGGTGGGACTTGCTGCCATTCAGGTTGGGTGTTGATGTTGGGGGCTCAGGTCCCTGTCTGAGCTCGTGTGGCCAAGCACTTCGTAACTGAATTTGCTCCCAGACATTTTGACTTTCACAATTACATCACTTGCGGTCGACCAGGGAAGCTCTAGCAGGGCAAAAATGTGGCAAATGGACTTGTTGGAAAGACTGTGTCCTATGTTGGTGCCCATGATGTCCCGCCGCCCATCCTGATGCTAATATTTGTTACAGGAAATTGTGTGACTGTATCTAATTATACATCTGTGTCAGCAATTAAAATAATACGGGTGCCCACATACTTTTTGCCATATAGTGTTTGCATTCAGTGTAAGGCAGTGACTCAGCTTCAGGTTCATTCCCACCCCTGGCTCAGTTTGGAGCTCATCTGTTCCCCTGTGTCTTTAGAACGGGTTTGCTGAAAGGATTCTATTTTACCCCTGCAGTCCAAAAACAGCCTGTTAGGAAAATGTGCCTGAGCATGAGTGTTTGTGCCCTGAAATTGACTGGGATCCCATCCAGGGTGTTACTCTGCCTTGTTCCCTGTCACTCCAGGGGTAAGCTCACCATGACACTACACTGAAACAGCCATAAGGAAGTTGGATTCCTGTATATGTTCACAATAAGTGATGTTCAGACTGTCTGAAACATGACTGCGATATTCCCAAGTCCTATAAATCCCAATTTAAGATTACTGTACAATACGACAATATGAAAGATATTCATACCAAAGCAAAGTTATAGCAAAGCAAAGTTGACCAGTAACTGGTCAAACATTTCAGCATCAAATAAAGTTTGAGTAGATGTAACTATTTATTCACTGTCATGGAATTAATTCTACTTCCTGTTATTCAAAATATCCCTCACTGGGCTTTCCCGGGTTTGAGCTCCAATGCCATTTCATCAATAAAATTCAAAGCATGTCCCCAGTTCTCCAGGCAGCCAATCACGTCGCACTGACCAGGGTAGCTGCTGAAGGAGACTTTGCCTGTGGCTGCGTGAGGCTCTGTCATCTTGAAGTCCCAGTACTTGTAGATACGCATTGTGGCGCTATAGACGTACCAGCTTGAGTGAGAAAGCAGGAGGTTCTCATATCCTGGCAGCATCTGAGGGCAGAAAAACAAGGAAGCCATTAGCAAAAAAACGTTAGCAAAAAAACATTAGTAAAAAAATATTAGCAGAAGCTGCTTTGGCAAATACACACGCCCCTTTAAATACATATCCCTTTAAGCAAAGATGATGACGACCTATACCTATTGTGTCCATGGTAAAAATTTGGTTAGGAGGACATCTTAATGCTACCAATGTAAAGTAACTTTAAGCATACAAAGAAACGGTGACCTCTGACCTTAATGAGGGCAGAACAGTGGCCCATAGGAATTTTTAAGTGGTTTTGAGGATGATGGGCTTTATGATGCACCAGGGCAGGTATTAGGTCCAGAAGATCACCCAGTGCATTGAGGAACTGTACTGCAAACATCGGCAGGGGCTGGAGGGGAAGTGAAATCAGATTAAATACAAGATGGCACAGGCCAGAACAATCCATTTCAACAATGAATTATGGTAATAAAAACAAGATGAAGGTCTGGTGACATTAACTGAAAGCAAAGGTCCGCCTGCACGTCGAGCCTGTCTCCTTCAATCTTCCGCTCCAAAACTGCTCTGCTGTGTTCCGGTAACATGTGCACATCCAGTGGTGCCAGAAGGAGTTTCATATTGGAGAGAACCGAATTTGTCCCGACGGGGGGGGGGGGGGGATGGGTGCATTGTATACCATGACATTGCAATGGGCACTCATACAATACTCACGCCATGCAAGGATGTGATATAAGGAAGATTTTCAAATTATTTCCAAAATTTCAGAATTTAAAATAAGGCTAACACTGTTTAGGGTACAGTTTCACAAAAAAAACATAACACAAGCATAAATGACTCATATAATAAAATGTTTGTCTGACACAGGACTACAATCTTCATTAGTATATACAGTATATTTAGTGCTTCTGTGGGAATTTATAATAGAAGATAAAGGATAAGCTTTTATTTATTTATCTATTTTTACGGGGGGGGCAGTTGATATTCCATTCCCCCATCACCCACCGTCTTTTGCTTCTGTTTCGCCCAGTACGCTGCTCCAGCGTACAGCCCATCCAGTTGGGCCACCACAAAGCCCATATGTCGCCAGAATGGGTCTCCGCTCTTCTGCTGCTTCACCTGGTTCCTCACCCAGGAGTCCTGCTTGCTGTGTGCAGATGGGTAGCATTTGGGCAACAGGGATGAGCAATGTCAGCCTTTTAAAAGGGGGCGGTGATGGTGTCCCGTCTTAGTAAAGGAGCCTCTCTCTTACCTCATAAAATTCTTCACGGCGATCAGTGTTTTTTGGTCAGTAATCAGCTCTGGGTACATGTTCGAATAGTGGCTAAACATCTGCCTGATAAACAGAAAATATTCCATTTCAGCGCTAGGCAATCCGGATCCTGCAGTGCCGGCATTCAGCACGTTCTATTCTACCTGATGAGTTACTACCTGCCCAAGATCAGGTGTGATTTATCATAGAAAACCTGCCTGACTACCTACCCCTGATCTACATATTGCTGTATAATATGTAAGGTAAAGTGTATGTACTTAATACTCATCATCATGTATTAATAAAAACAGGTTTAAGCATACAAAAAAGACTGCTATATACTTACTGGGCAGTGAGGTATCCCTCGAGGTATCCCGCTAGGTAGTGGGTTATCTCATCAGATCTGGGGGTCGCCCCATACCCCGCCCGTAGCTCCAGAACTCCCCAACCCGTTTGGAGCAATGTGTCGTTGAAGTACCCGTAAGCATCACCTTGTTTCTCCATCACCCCTTCTTTCAGCAGCACGGTCTTATGGGCATCATCCCAATACACAGTGGCTACCTGCATTTCTAAGAGACATGCGTGACTCCTTCGTAAAAGTCTCCATTAAACCGTTACCGGCTGTCAAACTGAAAATCTAAGTGTTAATTAGACAGGGGTGAAATAATGATTTTGCTGTAATTAAGCTATTATTATTATAGTATTTTTATTAAATCACAATCTGAGGCATGTAGAGGTAATAGCGCAGCTTTTACAACAGAAAAGGACAGAAAAGGGTGCTTGGATATATGACATGAGGCATGAACATTGTGATTAAAAGTCCAAGCTCATAATCAAATAAAAAACATACGCTTTTCCCCACGTGATTCGGTAAAACTCTCATAACTTGTTTCGTTTTAAAACAACCAAACAAATAAATAAATAAATAGCTTGCGAAACAGAAACAAGGTTTAGAAAGAAAAACCGGGAAATTCCTATTACAGGAAAACAGCTACAAATTAGTTGAATTGCCGGTGTTAACGAATTATTTCATGTCCGTGTAATGATCTGTTTTACGGGAGCGCACCGAATCCAGATCAATCGTACTTTCCACAGAAGAGTTAAGCTTTTTAAAGCTAAAAAATGTATATTCACTTTAAAAAGAAACAAGTGCTTAAGAAAAAGTCGCCACTCAATCACAGAACTGTCTCATTGCAGAAAAGCAACATTAAACGTCAGCGGAATTGTTATTTAAAAGTTATGTAAGTTACTTACTGTCTGCCTTAACGAAGGTCAGGGTCACAGCGCATATAATAACATAAAATTTGCTTTCAAAGCTTAACGCCATTTTTCTTGTTTTACGCTTAAATTATTACTGAATAGCAATTACTAAGCGTTAAAAGCACTCGATGTAAACTCTCGTATTCTCCGCCACAAACCCTGAGTGTGATTTACAAAACTAAGTAGGCTACTGTACTGCGAACGGAGAGTTAAGTACGTAAGTTATGGGTAGAGTCCGCTGATTGGATGAGTGTACCGGGAGCACTTCCCAGCTGGCACGTTCTTCGGCTTTCAGCATTAAATATGACGGGTCGCCCTATACAGTTGAACGGTGAATTTGGCAACTCTTTAAGGTTAACGACAATTTGCACCTAGTGCACGTATTTGAAAAGCGTAAGAGTGTGTACGTTTGCTGTACACGTGCTGAACACGGTTTCGTAATAATATACTATTATCAAGAAAAACGGATGTGCAGCCGACAGCTCGTCGGTATTTTTTATTTTTAATATGACATAGCCAATACACATTAGAACAAAAAACTTCCACCCCAGATGGGACTCGAACCCACAATCCCTGGCTTAGGAGGCCAGTGCCTTATCCATTAGGCCACTGGGGCGACGTTGCAACGCTCGTCGAAATAATTCTTTATATACAGTAATACTTGTTTGCAAGCTAACCAAAAACTATTATTATTATTATTATCATTATACTGTATCTGGTCGTTTTAATGAACCAGTAATTACTCCTTTGTAATCAATCAATTTTTAAAGTGTCAGACAAACGCCATTTCATTTCAGCGTGTGCCTGCATATTTGAAATGACAATAAATTTTTACCTGATTTAACTTTACTCTGCGTTATCTGTATACATGTATGTCTGTGTGTCTTATAGGACTGTAAGATGTGATATGTGAAAAAATAATCCACATGTACCTGTATGCTTGAAATATATATAAGCCTATATGAGACCCAGACCATTACTCCCAATTTACTCCCCCTACCTCTGCCCTTGCCCCTCCCCAGGTGTCACTGGAAAGTACTGGTGACACCCTGCAATCGTTTTTACAGTGCATTTAAGCTTTAGGTGTAGTCAATCATCTTCTGATACATTTGCTATATCATTCTTCTAGTGTAATCTGGCTGTAGTGTGGTGGCAGGCCTCCCCATGGGACCACCTCGGTGATTCATTCTTTCCTACGCTGCAGAGGAAGTCAAATGTCTTGAAGTTGTTCTCTTTTTTTTGTCACCCGCCTCCCCTCTTTCTCTCTGCCAAATGCAGCTCGACGACACGTGTCGCTCCCAGGGACACGCTGTCTTCCTCAGCAGACACGGCCGCGGAGAGTTCGGCGTCCATGGCAGCGGACAAGAGGTGCTCCTGGGACGAGCTGATCAATAAATGCATGCCGGTGAAGGGGACAGGTGAGTCCCAGGAGGAGAGCAGAGTGATGGACGCTGTGGGTTTCCTCTAAAAAGCACAAATGGATATAATCATAGTGTGTGTGTGTGTGTGAGAGAGAGAGAGAGAGAGTGTGATAATAGGCAGGCAACTACTGACAGTTATACATTCAGATACAATACCATTAAAACTACTGGGATTTTCTTGGCTGTTTCAATATTATTCCAACTGGCCCATCTTTATCTGAAATTATACTTTAAAAGCATTTGTTACAGTCTTAACGTCATTTATTTTAGTCAGGCGTTATTTAAGCATGAAAATATGAGTTTAGGGATTGTAATTCAGCATATGTTATATTTCATGTGCAAGATTTTTTTAAAAGTATTGATTTTAATTTGAGCATTTAATAATTTTTATTAGTGATTGTTGTTAATGTTTTCATCCAGACCCCCCTGCCGTCAAGCTGAATACTGTAGCTTTGTGCTCAAAGACCCCTATGGTCAGCAAGTCCGTCTGGGTGTCTGTGGCGGTCATCATAAGCGTGTCCCTTTTAGCTCTACTGCTGTGGTGCCTGATCTTCAGGAGGGAGAGGAGGCCCGTCCGTGGCGCAGGTAGGCGGGGCTCGCGGTGCCATGGCGACGTGCATCACCGGGTGTTCCGTGTGTCTCAGAAACCGTGGCGACCGCCTCGGCCCGGTTTCAGCTCTCGTTCAACCACTTTCTCAGTTTGTCTGTACATTTCTGACCAGCGGAGTGTGAAGGGAAATGAGGAGGGGATGCATCATACTAATGAAGTGTGACAACCCTCCTCCCACCGCTCGAAATAAAGTTTCTGTTCCCACTTTTACGTGGTGGGGGGGCAGGGGTGCTCTCAAGGGACTCGACATCCGTTGGTTAAAGCAAGGTGTAAGAGTAAAGCGCGTGTAAGCTGATATGAGCACACACTTACGCATACACCCCAGACACAAACAAGCATGTGTGTTTACTCACCATTGCCCTGCACACAACAAGCCTCCATCTTTGAAAATCTGGTCAGTGATTGTGCAAATAAGCAGAGACTGACCAAATTCTGTAAGCTCAGACCAATATATTACAAGGATAAATAAAACCCCTACGGAGTTATTGATGTGCAAAGTAACCGCAGGATTCCTCTGCTTGATGTGTCAGTTGAGGCAGGGAGGCCAGCTGAGGCAGATGCTGAGGCAGGAAGAGACCGGCCTGCGATGGCGGCAGAGGAAGAGGAGCCCCCAGCAGCCTTTCCATACGAGAATGGAGGCCCCGCGGGGGGGCAGGACCCAGTGGACTCCATCTGGAGGGAGGCGGTGAGGTGTGACGAGCGGGGAGAAAGCAGCGCGCACGTGTGCAATGGCAGGAAGGAGCACGGGATCCCACTTCCTGCCACAGAGCTGGGGGACGCCGCGCTGGTGACGACCAAGACGGTGCAGTAGGCGAGCTGATAGGGGAGCTTTACCTTCGCACATGACCGGCTTCTAGTCACACGTGTCTTTGCATATGGTTCATGTTTGTTAGGTGTGCACAGCATTGTGAGTTAGGAAAACTGGTTATGATGAAAGTTCGGTTCCGGGCTGATCTGAATGGAAATGGATTTGGTTCCCGAGCACCATGCAATCCTCTGTCATCCGTTTGTTATGCTGAGTGGCTCTGGGATGGCGCGTGGGCTTTCCCGCCTTTGTTTTGACCAAACTTTGGCCCTTGCAGTGAGAGGATCCCACAACCAGATCGCAGAGATGAAGCTAAGTCCGACCATTTACCACCTCTGCTCCTCTGAGCCATTAAAATTTGTGGCCTTTTTAGACTCTGATATTTTGCAGATTACTGAATAGATACACTTATATGTAGTTTTACATTAAATTCTGCATCTGCTTGCTGAAATCTGCAATGCATTTATTTTAAAATATGTGTGTAATCATGAAAATGAGATTTGTCTAATCATAGTCTAAGGGTTCAAGAGCCAATTTTATTACTGCTCTCATCTGAATATATGTGCATTTTAAAATCTATTTCTTAGATTTGCTAGTATGATTTATTTTTTACTACTTAACACACTGTTTCATTAGATTAGCAGAGCTGGCTTTGAACCATTCTGGGCAGTCTTTGTTCCTGTAGCCCAGAGACAGACAGGCCTTACACAAAAATGCATAAATTAAGAAATATTATTTACAGAATGCAGTGAGTCTTCAGTCGTCAGCCTTTTTCATTTTGACAGTTTTGTATTTACCTTGATGTAGTAATAAACAATTCCATTCACCTTGGCAGTTGATCCTTCTAATGTCGACATCTGAAGAGAAATCATTTACGAACCAACGTATTTAGGAGACAACTTCCCGCATTTAACGTAAGATACATAACAGTAGCACATACGAGGCTATGCAAAAAGCAACTTTATCACACAATGCACGGATATTGCCAAAGAATGCTGTAATACACAGGGATGGATTACGGACGGGGCCAGCAGGGGTGGGGGCCCTCGCGAACGTTTTGCCCAGGGGCCCACACAACCCATAATCTGTCCCTGGTAATACAACATTTAGTAACATATCACTAGTGTTGTAGTCAAGACCGCCTAAACCGAGACCAAGACATTGCCGAGACCGGAGGGTATCAAGACCAAGACACTGCCGAGACTTGAGGGTACCAAGACCAAGTCCAAGACCAAGACACACTAAGGCGAGACCAAGACCAAGACTGGTCGAGACCAAGACCAAGACCGAAAACAGACTAGGGCTAGAATCGACATCACATTACCCAGATCAACTGTAGAGAAAAAAGGCATTGCTGTAAAGTGTCATTACTCGTTAAATCAAATTCATGTTATCTTTTTAATTATATTGTCCGTATGTCCATATGTCTCTCATTTAAAATCTCCCAGATTTGTCATAGTTACGAGACCTGATAGAAAATAATATTCTCAGCAATCCTCTCCTATAACCATTTTATCAGACCTCGTCAAGGGAAAGAGATGGGATGTACCAGAAAGATGTTCATATTAAGTCTCTTATACCAGGGACAGAGGCCTCGGGTAAGCTATGAATACAGCTATGTAATGATCCTTTGCTTTGAATTGAAGAGAATGAGCCTCCAGATTGACTTGCACCTCCAAGACCGTGCTTTCTAATCAATGTAAAATACCTAATTTATTTGAATTATAACTATGCTATAGACTTCGCGGACATTTTAGGACATTTTTTTGCCGATGTATGATATGATGTGTATGATGTGTGTGGACTGTGAAGCACTGGCAGTGTCCGTGGAGAAAATGTATAAAATGTAACGTTTTTGAAATGGATGCATCTGACTGGTTGCATTTGAATTGAGGCGCGTAATAAATAATGATACTGTTCTGTGAGGATGTGCAGTTTTCTCTTTTTTTCCCCATCCCATCGAGACCGCTATGTCCGAGACCAAGACAAGACCGAGACCAAATAGAGTCGAGACCAAGACAAGACCGAGACCACCAAAAATTGGTCTCGAGACCAAGACCGGTCTCGAGAACTACAACACTACATATCACTAACTATCAGAGCTACATGAAATGCAATATTAGGATATCAATAATAAGTGCTGTGAAATAACAAGTGAAAAAAACTCTGGAAAATCAAAAATAAAGTTGCAAAGGAAAAACCAATAGTATTAGAAGAAAAAAAAACATATATAAAGATCATATACTTTTTTGTGGACAACTGGTTTTACAAGATAAATATAGGATATATGGGTTAAATTTGTTAGATTGACATCTCTCTAGGCAGATGATTGGGAGGCAACATTACTGAGTATATTGTCAAGTTGTCTCACAGGTTCAGGCCCTGGTTGTTAGTCGGCTCTTCTGGTTTTAGTGAAGTGTCACTGACAGAATAATGGAGACTCATTGTCTGTGAGAACCACAGAGCTGGACTCCAGCAGAGGCTGCTTTCGTTGTCACCTGCAAGCAGAGCTATAGGTATGTGGTAAAATCGTTGAGTGTGGGCAAGTGAAGGTACTCCGGTTGGTAGTCAGCCTGGCCTTCGTCCCTCTTCCTCCTCCTCCCTCGGATGGAGAGGGTGTTACTCCTGTCCAGCCCCTCCGTGCGCCCCCGCTTCTCCAGGGTGGACCTGATCATCCCCGCCAGGTCCTCCTGCAGTCTCTGGAAGTTCTCCCTGTGAGGAGACAGGAGGAGGAGAGACGGCCGACGTGAGAAATGGCCGACGTGAGAACTGGACAGCGAATGATGGCGCCGAGGGCTCAGCTGGCTGGAACTCACGCCGCGGGGGGGGTGGGCAGGTTATACGCCTCCCCAGTGACGCCCGTCAGCCAGTAGGTCGTCTCAGTGCCTTTACCCTGGAAGACACATGGAGACCCACGGCTCTCTGGTTAGCTGGAGGACCTTTAATTTCATTCGCATCACGGTTTCCAGGGGTGCTTTAATGCACAGGCTTTCCCAGGCTGAAGCCCAGGGGCCTCAAGGTGCTTCAGCTAACAGCATTTAATAAACAGTCGATAGATTTCACCATTGTCCCCCCACCTTCCCAGTCCACACCTACAACATTAGTAGGGGGTCCTCTGGTAACTCAAACAGGCCAGAGAACTCTGACCATGTCATTTCTTTTCTGGAAGCTTCCCAATCCTGCCTTCTGTGACTCAGTGTATTTTCAGAGCAGGTTTGATTATAATGTACAACAACATGTTACTGCTACCCCCGCGACCCGAACCCCGGACAAGCGGAAGATGATGGATGGATGGATGGAGGTTAGACAGGGGTGGCACAGTTATACACAGCATTGTTGCCACCCACCTCTGAGTCTCCACCAGGATTCCATGTGTCATCGTGGAGTTTCCTCTGGGTACTACAGTTTCCACCCAAACATGCTGAAGCTAACTTGTGTTGCCAAATTGCCCGTAGGTGTGTGTGGTGTGTGAGTGTGCCCTGCAGTGGGTTGGCACCCCATCCTGGGTTAGTCCCTGCCTTGTGCCCATGGGTCCTGGGACATGATCCGGACCCCCCATGACCATAAATAGGACATGCGGTTATAGAAAATGGATGGAAATTTTACACATCTGACACATAGGATATGGTAGATAGAACCAAACTGGAGGGCCCTGCATCCAAAATCAGTCATTCATGGCAAACAGGTTCCATCTACTGCCTGCTTCTTCCACACGATGTCATCTGGAGCCCAAACCGGTCGGTGTCTATAGCTGTGACTTCATTGAAGATTTGCACAGATAACTCAACAAAGTTAAACTGCGAGTAGCTTGTGTTTCCCTTAATCGATGGCATGCGAAGGATAAATGCCACGAGTCATTCTACGCGATTAAGATCCATGCCTCGTACTTCAGCACAAAGTGGGGTTTCCGCAAATTAGTAGCTTTATAAGAACTAAGTATCATTTTATCTTATGTTACCTACTAATTTGCAAATTCTATTTCCATTGCAGTTTAGTGAATTGTTTTTCCGACCTGCTACAGAAACAACATCTGAGGGTTGCGGAGGTGGAAAGTTCAGGTCCAGAAAGTACAAATATCAACCAATATTTTGTTTCAACCAAGCAGCACTTTGACTGTGACTCTTTATACTCAACTGGTTGGTTGAAACAAAGTCTTGGTCTAGATTTTTACTTTCTGGACCTGAACTTTCCACCTCTGGGGGGGGTTGTTGAAATTAAACAGATTTTCAGTTCGCATCTCCAAAATGAACAAAATCTAGGTCGATGGAGAAACCACTGACGTCCGGCTTGCTTACTTTAAGGTAGATCTCCCCTCTCCTCTCGTACTCAAACTTGCAGTCTGTCCTCTGGAGGATTTCAATAGTGGGCTGACTGATGTGGATTCGCAGAGCTGGGGAGCACCAGGAGAGGAGTTTAACTTATTACTGCTCAGGTGCGTATTTATGCATCAATAGTAGACATTTCCGTAGCTTCAACGCATGTATGTGTGTATGTCCTGGGAGCTGGTTCTTACGGAGGCCCGTGGACTCCATCCGGGAGGCGGTGTTAACAGTGTCTCCAAACAGGCAGTAACGCGGCATTTTCACACCCACTACCCCAGCAGCGCAGGGACCTTTACAAAGAAACAGATGTAAGAAGCACAGGGTCACACATGGGCACACATGGTCTATAACAGGACAGCCCCATTCGATGAGCGTTTCCTTTAGCATACAAGTAACATCCTGAATTGTGAACGGTCCACCCTGGCATGTGAGGACCAGCAGACAAAAAGTAACTTATAAATGCTTAAAATATACAATGCTGGTTTGGCAACGCCAAGCACGTTTACGGTGGCCTCTCACGTGATGTCTTGCAGTGATCTTTGTATCGCAAGTTTCTCGTGTCTTTTTGCTTTGGGGGGGGGCCTGCGGCCCTAACCCCTACGATGTGGAAGGGTCGACTAATTGCTAAAAATTAACAAGGCTTTAATATTCCTTTTCAGCTGACCCTGAAGTGGGTGGGGCCTGGTGTCTTGTACCTGAGTGGACCCAGAAGTAGGTGTGGCCTGGTGTCTTGTACCTGAGTGGGCCCTGAAGTGGGTGTGATCTGGTGTCTTGTACCTGAGTGGACCCTGAAGTGGGTGTGGCTTGGTATGTTCGAGTTGACCCTGAAGTGGGTGTGGCCTGGTGTCATACCTGAGTGGACCCTGAAGTAGGTGTGGCCTGGTGTCTTATACCTGAGTGGACCCTGAAGTGGGTGTGATCTGGTGTCTTGTACCTGAGTGGACCCTAAAGTGGGTGTTATCTGGTGTCTTGTACCTGAGTGGACCCTGAAGTGGGTGTGATCTGGTGTCTTGTACCTGAGTGGACCCTGAAGTGGGTGTGGCCTGGTGTCTTGTACCTGAGT